GCACGGCCTGCCGTCGCCGCCGCCGGCCGCGCCCTCGGCCGACAGCCGGCCCAGGATGAGGCCCGCCACGGCCGCGCCGGCCCCCAGCGCGAGCCCGGACAGGCGCATGGGCGCCGCGGACGGAAGCAGCGCTGCGTTCATTGTTCGGGAGGGTTTTGCGGGGGTTGCGGGGGTTGCGGGGGGTTGTGGAGAGGCAGGCGCGCGTGGCCTGTGTGGAATCTTCGCTTGGTGCAAATCTTCGCTTGGCTGCGCAATCCCCACCCCGCGCTCCCGCTGCGTTGTACGAGTATATATCCTACTACATGCGCACCCCCCCACGCCACGCCACGCCACCCGTAAGCGCAGCCTCCACGGGCCGGCACGCGCGCGCGCACCGCGGGCTCAAGGCCTCACGCAGCCGCCAGCAGGGCAGCGCACGGCAGGGCAGCGCACGGCTTGCGGCGCGGCGGCGCGCGCGCGGGCGGCGGAGGGAAAGATCTTGCCGTGGCGACCTTCCGTTCGCTCGCGACGGGGCGCTGCGCGCCACCCGTTGCCCGCGCGCTCCCGCGCGCGCCGCGCCCTGTCGCGCCGCGTGGACACGTGGCGTGGACACGTGGCGTGCCGGTGCAGGGAGGGGTCGTGCAATAGTGCTACTTGGAGTAGTGCGTCCCACGCATTAGTGCTATGAAAAACGCCATACACGTGTGGCTTCAGTGGTACAGTATACGTAGCAGAATTGCAGAGTCGGAGGGAGGTGCGACGGCGGGAAGCGGAATGATGAAACATTTTACTGTAATGATGATCCGTTTTGTCTATAACAGATAAGCTGATAAGCGTTGCAGAGAGCCACATTGCAAACAACTTTTCAACCATAATGGTCCCTCTCGTCCCCTAATCCCCTAATCAATCCCTCCCCACCTCCTCGCACGCCGCTCACCCTTATTGAAAAAATTGGGGCAGATACACACGACTCATTCTGAATGATCTAAACTAAATGATCTAAATGATTGTGTTTTGCGCTTTCTGTATAGTGCCACTCACGCAATAGTGCCATATGTCGAGGTCTGTCATGGGGTAGCACTATAGCGTGGGACGCCCTGTATAAACTTTATACTATAAAGATATCGCCCGGCCCGGCAACATCCGGCTCGCCGAGCTGGTCGCACGCGCCGTGAGCCGGTTCCCCAGGAAACAGCTACTGTACACCGAAGCATCTCCCGCTGCGAGAGCTCACCCCCACCCCCACCCCCTACCGCACGAATCCCGCACGACCATTCCGCGCTACATTCATCTCGCACACCGGCCGTTCGTTTTCTAATCTGCCGTTCGCCAGCGTCACCTTCCCCATTCGCCTCTCTGTCGGGAGCGTATACTCTCCTTCCTTCTCCTCCCCCTCGCCATCGCCACCCCGTCGTCGCCACCCTCTGCTCGTCCCCTGCTCATCCACCCCGCCGCACTCCCCTCCCCTCCCTTTCCCCGTCCCCCTCCATCTCCCCATCCCCCCCTCGCCCGCCGCCATGTCCGCCTTCCTCCCCCCCGCCCCGCTGCTGCGTCCGCGCGTGCACCTAACATCCTCGAGCCCCCTCCCCCCCTCCCCACGGCCCGCTCGCCGCCGCACCCCCGCGCGCCCTGCGCGGCGCGCCACCCCCTGCGCGACCTCTGACTTCGGCAAGCGCTTCGGCGACCTGCGCGGCAAGGCGATCGAGCCTGTCTCGGCCACCGTAGCCCGCTTCACCAACGCCTTCGCGCGCCCGATCCCCATCGTCTACCGCGGCATCATCAACGAGCTCATCACCACCACCCACCTCGCCACCGTGTGCGCCATGTGGCGCTTCGACTCCGTCTTCGCCTACGGATTCGACCAGGTCTTCGAACAGTTCCTGCGCTACTACCCGGACCTCGACGAGCGCGACGCCCTGTACAAGGCCTGCGTCGAATCCGTGCGCCTCGATTATAACACCATCCGCAGCAACGCCGCCGCCGTGGGCGACTGGCTCGAGGGCAAGTCGGAGAAGGACGTGCTTGACGCCCTCGCCGCTGCCCCCGAGGGCGCCTCCGCTGCCGATGTAGGCCCCGTCATCGAGGCCGTTGCCTACGTCCGCCACGCGGGGCCGTTCGACTGGTACTACTCGCGCATGTTCGGCATCGGCCTCATCCAGGTCATGGCCAAGGTCGGCGTCGACCTGTCCATTACCAATGCGGAGGCCTGGGCGGATGCAATGAAGATGGAGAAGAGCAAGTTTGCAGCCGAGATGGGCGCCTACTTGTCCTCCATGGAGAGGCTCAAGCAGGCAGAGCAGATCTTCGCAGAGTCCACGGCCAGGGAGGCCAAGAAGACCGCTGAGAGGCTCGCCGCTAGAGCACAGGCCGCAGCGAAGGAGGCCGACCAACTGGAAAAGGAGGATGAGCTCGAGGTTGAGGCACCAACTACGTCAGTTTGATAACAAAACAGTTGTTTTTTTTTCTTTTTCTTTTTTTTTTCGTCACACGCGCGCCTGGAGAGAACTAGCTGCATGTCTCTTTTGTCTGCAAAGAGAGACAATATATATAATCAAACACATCCCCACCGCCGCACCACCCTCGTCCCAAATCTCCAACCCCCCGGCGCCCAGACTTACCCGAACTTGCCGTACGCCTTGTGAGCAAGCTGCCCACCAGGCCGCTTAAAGTACACAAAAGCCACAAGCGACGCAATTTCCAGCAGCAAGATCGCATAAAACAGCCCGTGCGTTGACTTTCTCACCACCTCATGGCTATCCGCCATCAGCTCCTTCACCGACGAATGCGCCTCCTCATGCGCCGACTTGAGCTCATTATGGCTCACATGCAAGTCCCCCATAACCTTATTCAGCTCAGCCGCGTCCTTCTCAAAGTTACTCAACCCCTCCCGCAACGCGCGGATCGCCGAGTCCACTTCCTTGACGTCCCCCGTCAGCCTCCTCAAGTCCTCCCTCTGCGTCACGATGTTGCGGATCAGCGTGTTCGACCGGTCCACCAGCTCCGTTGCCACGGCCGAGCTCGACGCTAGCGTGCTCGACTTCGCCCCGAGCTCCTGCTGCAGCGCCTGCCGCAGCGCCGAGAACTTGGTCTCCAGCAGGTGCAGCGACTGCCCCAGATCCACTACCTCGCGCTTCTTCCCGGCCGACTCCGCGTCGTGCACCGCGCCCTTCACCGAGTCCACTAGGTCGTTCATCCGGTGCCGCATGTCGTCCGCTGGCTCCGAGAGCGAGACGGACGCCACCGCGCTCAGGCAGAATAGCAGCACTACTAGCCACGACGGTCGAGCGGTGTAGAGTGCCATGGTGAAAAAAAAACAGTGAGAGAGTAGGGAGATGAAAGGTGGGGTCTCCGCGACCGTCCGGGCGGGGTGCAAGGCGAATCGGATGTACCGAAAGAGTTGTGGTGCGGATGGGGTGGGGGAAGGGGGGGAATGTGATGACAGACGGAGAAGTTAACGTCAGAGAGGAAAGCGGGAGGAAAGCGACGTCAAAAATGTCGCGTGTTATTGTTACAAGTGATGGTGCCAAAGAAAGTTGACTGCAGCCACGTGTCCACGTCGACCACCGGGGCAATACTGTACACGTGTAGAGAGAAATAAACAATAATGGATGAATGGATTTGTGCAGTACAAGTACGAACCCGCGGGTACGAACGCGTTTAGATACCGCAAGAGATCAAGAGATCCAACGTTGGAGATGGTAGAGATGGAAACGTTGCACCTGCCACACTCCACAACCTCCCGGCCCCCTCTATACTCTTACTGCCTCTTGACGCAGGGCCGAGTCGCATTGGGACACCATTAGGGCAGTGCGGCTGCACACCGTGTCCAGTACAGAGTGCCTACTTCTTGGCTCAGGCCTCTAGAATAGAAAGTATCCCAAGAAAGGGCCTCGTCAACTTCGGACTCAAAAGCGTTTGGACCCTCTAAGCGCCCCAACACTCACCCGTCTTAATAAGCATGACACGAGCTCATCACAGAGCACATGTCATCTCCTATCAATGGAAACACAACTGCCTACCAGCATACATCGAAAAACAAGTGCATGCCAGAAGTACAAGCCTTCACGTATTCAATTCCAGTCTCCCTTTCGCCCCCACCGCAAGCCACAAACGCCCCAGCCACACGATGACCACAAATCCAACCGCACAATACAACAAAAACGCCGAGGCAAGTCCTACAAGCTTATCGAACGCCGTCTCCGCCTTCACCGAAGCCCCGCCCACGAGCAACAAAATCATACACACACTCTCTACCAGGCATATCAGCCCCGTCCTGGCCAAACCTCCAAGTTTCCCGTGCCCCCGCAAACGCCGCCCATCCTCTGCCACGGCACGCCGCGCAATAAACCCGCTCCCGAACACGCACCAGAAACCCCACAATGCCACACTCCGGTACAACCCAAACAGCACAATGCCGTACTCTGGCGCTATCATCGCGGGCGTTGCAACCATACCCACCCCCGACGACCCGCAGCATCCCACCAGCCCCCCGGCCCATACATACAGCATCAGCTCTTGCTCGCGCATCCAGTTTCCCCTTTGGGCTTTCGCCCCTTCCTTCTTCCCCCCTCGCAAACCACCCTTCAGCATCACTACTCCAACCACCACGACCACAAAAATCCCCGCTACATGCATCAAAAACGTCTGCCACTCAGCGTCCGGCATCTCCGCCGGCTGCGTCAGCTGGATGCGATACTCCCGCCAACTCCACGACAATTCCATCGCCGCAAACGTCCACCAATACCACGGCCTGAGAAACGGCGGCGTGGTGTAGTCCACCGTCTGCAACGGGCCGCACTTGTCCGGAATGTCCCACCGCATGCGCCGGTAGTAAAAGTAGTGCGCCATCTTCGTCCCCGCCGCCAATCTCCTTACGCCCACCTCCGCCTCGTCCACCTCCCCGCGAAACACAGACGCGTTGAGCAGCCGCTTCCCAAAGTGCTCGTTCAGAATACACGCCTCTTCCTCGAGCCAGTCCGGCGCGTTCTCCTTTCTGCACGACTTATCCGTCCCGTCGCGCAACGCGCGCGCGCGCGCCGCCAAACCGTCGTGCACGGCCTTCGCCGGCGTGAGCGTCATGACGCCCGTCGAGAACGAGCACGGCGTGTGGAACATGGCGCAGAACGGCCTGCAGCGGAACAGGGCGCCCAGCCCGCCCTTGTGCACCAGCACGTACGGCGAGAGGTACAGCACGGCGTCGTACGCGGTGAGCGCGAACAGCGGGATCAGGGGCGAGGTCGAGGCCGCCAGCGGCAGCGACGGCAGCACCTCGAACGACAGGCCGTCGTGCTCCACCAGCGTCTGCGCCCACCGGCGCGACACGCCCTCCGTCACGAAGATGGTCTGCGCGACGGACGGCGGCAGGCCGCCGTTCCGCCGCGCGGACAGCATCATCACGCGCGCCGGTAGCAGATCGGCGTCCGTGGATACGATCGTCGCGAGGAGGTTGCGCGGACGAGGTGCGTCGTCGCCCGTGCCGCGGGTGGCGATGAGGAGGAGGAGGACGAGGCCGATCGGGTGCAGGGGGCGCATGGTGGCGCGCGCCGGGAGAAAGGGACACCGCGAGCGCTCAGGGGCATCTTCAGCTCGCACGCGGGGGCGGGGTGGGGCAGGGCAAGAAGGTTGTGTCACTCTACAACGATGAGAGAGTGAGCGGGGGGGGGAGGGGAGGGATGAGGGATGTGGGAGAGAAAGGGGTGGGCGATGGGGACCATGCCCAATGCCCATGGTCAAGTGCCGGGGCTTCGATTGCGGTGTGCATGGGGCTGTCGAACACGTGTTGAGTCTAAAGTTTAGACTCTAAACAGAGCTGAAGTGTTGACACATTATTCCCATGCCATAACGCTGGGCCGTTCGATAGACAGAAGTGTTCCCCCCTCTCCGCGCCACC